TGCGCAAAGACTCCCGCAAAATTTTTTTTTAAAAATGTTTACACATACAGACTTAGTCCGAATGTGCTGAAATTGGAATCACTCATGTGGGATTTCAGCCTGAATATAATGCACTATGAAGTATATGAAAAGTGAACACTATAGCGCCCCCTACCATAGACATTAACATCAATAATATCAGACTTGTACCAAATTCAGGGATTAAATTCTATGCATGTTTGTGAGCAAAAAAAGGATATTACGGATATTGGACATTTTTAACGGTTGGCCAGCAGGGGCGCAAAGACTCCTCCAGAAATGTTTAAAAAGTCACAGGCGATATATCGATACAGCAGCCCACGATATTGATACTGAATCATCAAATTAAATGATGTGATATATCGATATTTCAGTATTTTTGCACACCCCTATATCCAATCCACCAAAATATTGTATCGGCACTAGGGATGGGCATGATTAATCGATTAATCGATAATTGATCATTAAGAATTTCATCGATTACCTTAATTTTAATCGATAAACCAAATGTAGGTTGCTGTGTGTAGCGTGACCAAACAGGGGTCTGTACATGTGTCTCTCTGCACTCAGAAGGAACGAGCAAACACAAACAGTGGGTCAGTCTGCAACGTACCGAAGCACAAATGTGTATTTAACGATGATTTGTACAAGAAATTTCATGCTTTCCGTTGCGTTCGGGACAAGTGTGAGTCCATGTGCACAGTGTACAAAGCAGCACATATGTTTCTGTGTCCAGTGGGAAAAAGCTTTGCCAGGTGAGCGTCACTCAATGTCGATGACGAGTCCCCACCTCCTCCCCCGTACGGTGTCCTGGTTTTGACAAAACGCAAATCTGGTCACACTAACCTGTATTCACCTGAGTCGTGTCTTTTAATCCAACAGAAGTTGAACCGCATCAGCGACACAAGAGCTGCAGTTTTATCTTCGCTTAGTTTATGCAAATTAGCGATGCGGTTTTAAGTTTTGTTTCTGTGAGAGTTGAGCAAAACTGAATTAAATACATTATAATGTCAAACGAGCTGATGTGGCTCTAGAATCGTTACGGTTTATATGTCGTAAAGTTGAATTTATTTATGCAGATTAGTAGTGCAGATAGTAATAATAATGATGATCATTTTAATATAAAAACGTTAATGATTAATCGATAATCGATCATTAATTCTTCCGACGATCAATTAAGAAAATTTAATCGAATGCCCATCTCTAATTTCAATATTTTAGCACAGCTCTATATCCAATCCACCAAAATATTGTATCGGCGCATCCCCGTTTTATACCAGATGCATACTTTTTGTTGATTTGTGATCTTTACGTCAACTAAAGATACATTTGTGGGCTTTACTGTGGATTTTAAAAGCTAAATATCGTCGTAATGGCTCAAAATAAAAATCAGTATGGGACTATTTGTGGTTGTCAGTCTCCTGGTTGTCCCACTGTCCCACATGGACTCAGAGTATCTGGCCGCTTTCGCATCGCTGGCCGCTGGTGCCTCGGTCTTGCTTCACTCCTCTTCCTCTTCGTCGTCCTCCTCCTCCTCCTCCTCTTCGTCCTCTGAGCGTTCCTCTGGACGGATCCCCCCTTTCCGCTCTATTTATAGCATCTACAGCAGCTTCCAGACGGAGGCGACGAAGACGAGGCATCCTCCTACAGAGCCGCGCACACACACACACCAGCACACGGGAGCGCTCACGTTTGATTATCGCCGTGGAAACCTCACGAAAAAACGACCAACGCTGTAGTTTAGATCTCTGCAAACATGTTTAAAATGTCTCTTTGTGTCAGATGCCCTCCCCCGTGTGTCTCCGTGAGGTTTTATTCTGCAAGCGTGTTCAGAAATACACGGGATTCTTGGTTTATCAGTTTAGATTTTACTTTAGTCTCGGTGCTCTTCTTGGGTGCGTTAAAATATTCACTGTGAAATGATTTGATTAGCTGAAAATATACAGAGGTGGGAGAGGAATAATATTCATAACAATAATAGTTTGAGCTGTGCAGCTAATTGAATCATGTGTTAAGAGGGTTTTCACTCAGAATGTCGCTATTTATGTGTGTTAAAAAGCAATCTGTATAGTTTAAGTTCAGAAAATAATGTTAGATTCTTTTATATTTGTGTTTTTAATCTGTGTGTCGTTCGTTGATTCGTTTTTCAAAATAAAACCAGAAATAAGAAAGTGAAAAAGCAAATATTTTCTTTATTATTTGTCTCCAAAACCAAAATGGAAAAATTGATAACAACTTGTTTTTTCAGTTTTTGAGTTTGTGTTTAAATGAATAATGAAAAAAAAAAAAACTGATATTTACGTGACTTAAACTGCGATGCCGGACTCAGGACTAAAACAGGACTAAAACAGGACTAAACCAGGTCTAAACCAGGTCTAAACCAGGTCTAAACCAGGTCTAAACCAGGACTAAACCAGGTCTAAACCAGGTCTAAACCAGGTCTAAACCAGGACTAAACCAGGTCTAAACCAGGTCTAAACCAGGACTAAACCAGGTCTAAACCAGGTCTAAACCAGGTCTAAACCAGGTCTAAACCAGGACTAAACCAGGACTAAACCAGGTCTAAACCAGGTCTAAACCAGGTCTAAACCAGGACTAAACAGGACTAAACCAGGACTAAACCAGGTCTAAACCAGGTCTAAACCAGGTCTAAACCAGGTCTAAACCAGGTCTAAACCAGGTCTAAACCAGGACTAAACCAGGACTAAACCAGGACTAAACCAGGACTAAACCAGGTCTAAACCAGGACTAAACCAGGACTAAACCAGGTCTAAACCAGGTCTAAACCAGGTCTAAACCAGGTCTAAACCAGGTCTAAACCAGGTCTAAACCGGCCGCGGTCTCAGTCCTGATCACCCGACAGACTACGCGGGCGCACCTCCGGGCCCGTCCCAACAGTCCTGGTTCAGTCCTGCTTTAGTCCTGGTTTGGTGCTGGTTTGGGTCCTGGTTCAGTCCTGGTTCAGTCCTGGTTCAGTCCTGGTTCAGTCCTGGTTTAGTCCGTATGCGGCACAAAAGTCCAGCATTGCAGTTACGTCACGGGAAACGGGAAACGTCCGTTATCTGTTTTTTTCCATGCTTCATTTAAACACAAAATCGAAAACTGAAAAAAACAATCATTATCCATTTTTTCATTTTGGTTTTGGAGACAAACAATGAAGAAAATAGTTGTTTTTTCATTTTCTTATCTTTGGTTTTATTTTGAAAAACGAATGAACAAATCATACACGGATTGGTTTTTATCAGTCAAAATATTTTTTTTAGACAAAATAGAGATTGAGCAGTATAAACTTGGATCGTCAACCACAGTGTGTAAAGTTTAAGCCAAAAATATTTTCAAAACACGTGTCTCTACTGTGAGCGGGCTTGCATCTCCACAAACCTGACTCTAAGGCTACAGCCACACGACAACGCTCCTGTATAGCACATTTTATAAACAAGACAGTTTCCAAAGTGCTTCACATGTAAAAAAAAAAAAAATAAATAAAAAATAAATAAATAAAAAATAAATTTAAAAAAATGCAGAATTGTGTTCCAACCATGAGGAAACTAATAGAATCAATAAATAAAATAATAATAATAAAATCCATGAATAAAAATAATAAAAATCAATACATAGATGCAGTACTAAAAAATAAAATGGATAAAAAAAACAATAATTAAATAAATTAATAAAAATGTAATACAATAAAATTAAATAAATAAAATAAAAAATAAAATATAACATAAAAAAATATAATAAAATAAAATTATATAAAGACTGGTATTAAAAGAGGCAGAGAATAAAAGTTGTTCTTAAGACGAGACTTAAAACTCTCCACTTTGGTTTTATGTTTTATAGGTATCTCACTGGACACCATCTAAGGCTTGCTCTCTTTTATCGTTTCTTTCGACTGCAAACATTTGTTGTTCTCCAGTATTTTCGTTTTGTAAAGGCATCTCACCAGAGGCAAAAGTTTGGAGACCTGTGGTATAGTACAACTGCGCTGCGTTAGTGTAGCTCCACCACAAGAGGGCGTGTTTCTGCAGATTTCACTTTAGCTGTGGTGATTTGTTTCTGTCTTTGAGGGCAACAGAACAGCGCCGTAGTGGTCTCACCTCTAATTTTTCTACATGTACACAGTAATTATGTTGTTCACATGTGGGTCTGTGCTGTTTTTGTTAGTGGTGGTTCTACAAAACACGGGGGGATTATGGAGCCGGATATTTTCTCATATCCTCCTGAGACTCGGCCTATTCATTTGTGTCATTTAGAGTTAACTGGTTTATGTTTTAAGTGTTTTGAGAGACTCTTAATAGGTTCCTCTGCCTAAATAGGGCGGGGGGATTATAGGCAGTATCATGTCCAGGATACAAAAAATAAACTCAATACTCATAAAAAAAAAAACTTAAGAAATTAAAAGGGAGTCTTAAAACTTTCTGAGGCGATTGTAGAAGCTTGCCAGAGATTTTTTTAGGTTCTTAACTTGGATGGATTTAACACCAAAATGTCCCCGATGTCCATTACAGAGGACATGTTAGAAAATTATAAATAAAATGAACAAAATCTAAATGCTAAGGTGTTCATTTACCTCCAAATAGATAGAAAATCACAAAAAAATACACTTTTTTTCTTCAGATCCCAGGTGTATAGAGTTTGCATAATTGTTTTTGTGAATAAAGTGTTTGTCACAGATTGTCCAAAACTGGATACCGGTTACCAGTTCTGTTCTAAGTATTTAGGATTTTTTGGATAGGATTTTTTCAAAAAACTTTGAAACATTAACTTGGAAAATAGTTCAACAAAAAAGAGGAGAGAGTTTATTATAAAGATGGACACTTAATCAGACTAGTCATCATAAAAAAAAGCTCTTTCTTAGTTTTATTGTGGATTATTACCTGATTTTTGATACTTTTGACAACCCTAAAGGCAGATAATTTAGCCTCCTCCTGTCCCCTCTCCTCTCTCTTTCGCTCACGTTCGTCTTTCGTGTCTCTGTGCAGAAGTACGGTCAGCAGGACGAGGACACGCCCCAGGACCCCACGCCCCCTCCCCTCCCCGAGGACAGTCCCGAGCTGGTGCAGGTGTCCCAGAAGAGCCTGTCCCAAGTGGAGACGGTGCACGGATATGTGTCCCACGCTCACATCTCGCCCATCAAGGTAATGTCCTCTACCGTCTGTAAAGCTCGACCTGGACGGGACAGTTTGGTTCTTACAGCGCTGTCAGTTTATTTAGTTTAAAGTCAACGGGACAGTATGTGTGCGTGAATACTGAACGCATGATTTATGAAGCCAATTGCATTTGTTTCAACCTAACTACTGCACTGCCCTACAAAAAAAAGAGCTTAAAGGGCCCATCTCATGCAAAATAACTCTTTTCACATTGTATCTTCTGCACATAAACAAGCACAATTTGGGTTTTGGAACATCCATTACACAATAGTTATGAAATTTTACTGATTTCACACGATTAATGAAATCTCAAATACAAACAAAATGACACAAACTCATTTTTGACCAAACATGATGTTAGGGCTTCTGTTTCTGCTTTTGTAGGGCAGTACAGTAAAGTAGTATTATTATAAAGTTAGTTATTATGAGGAAAATTAAGCAAAACATTCCAGAAGCAGTGAAAGAAATATTTGCCAAAGATGCCAAAAAACAACAACCAAAAACAACTTTGAAAGATTTAAAGGGCCCATGTTTTGCTATTTTCTTATTTATGTTATATTGTTGTCTCCTCATTACAAACAGACCTGGAGTTTTGTTTTGTTTCATTTTCTGCACATTTAGGCCAAGTTTTTCTCTTCTGAACTTAAGATAAAAGGAGCTGTTAAATGGAAAACTACATGACATGACATCACAAGGTGGAACGGAGCATTTTGAGCTTTGTATGTGTAGAGTGAATGAAACAAAAGACGATTCCAGGTCTGTTTTTGGGGAGGTAACGACATTCAAACATGGCTTAAAAATCCATGTATCATTCGTTCATTCATTTTGCAATATAAATAAATAAAAAAACTAAAAAACAACAGTTTTCTTCTTTATTTGTCTCCAAAACCAAAATGAAAAAACAGATAACAATTAGTTTTTTCAGTTTTCGATTTTGTGTTTAAATGAAGAATGGAAAAAACGGATAACGGCCGTTTCCCGTTTATGTGACTTCCATGACTGCGATGCCGGACTTTTGCACCGCATACGAACTGAACCGGGACTGATCCAGGTCCGGGACCAGAGCAGGACCAGAAGGGGACCAGAGCGGGACCAGAACGGGACTGAGACCAGGACCAGACCAGGACCAGAGCGGGACTGAGACCAAGACCAGACCGGGACCAGACCGAGACTGAGATCAGAACTGAAACCGGGACCAGACCGGGACTGAGACCGGGACTGAGACCGGGACTGAGACCGGGACTGAGACTGGGACTGAGACTGGGGAGACTGGGACTGAGACCGGGACTGAGACCGGGACTGAGACCGGGACTGACACCGGACTGACCGGGACTGGACTGACACCGGACTGACCGGAGACTCAGAGCCCACGGCAGGGCCGGAGCTCGAAGCTGAGGCTCGGACCCCCGTAGGCTCAGAGTCAAAGCTCGGAGTCAAAGCTCGGAGTCAAAGCTCGGAGTCAAAGCTCGGAGTCAAAGCTCGGAGTCAAAGCTCGGAGTCAAAGCTCGGAGTCAAAGTTTGGACTCCGGTCTGGTCCGGTCTGGTCCCGGTCCGGTCCCGAACCTGGATCAGTCCTGGTTCAGTCCGTTATCCATTTTTTCCATTCTTCATTTAAACACAAAATCGAAAACTGAAAAAAACTAATCATTATCTGTTTTTTCATTTTGGTTTTGGAGACAAATAATGAAGAAAACAGTTGTTTTTTTTTCATTATCTTATTTTTGGTTTTATATTGAAAAACGAATGAACGAATGATACACGGATTCTTAAAGCTCACAGGGGTTTATTTTGTGTAATACAGGATGTTTTTAAGAATGAGAAAAACTCGTGCTCTGAACTGTCCCATCCCGATAGTCCACCCTCTGACTAACCTGACGAACTAAACAAATGTGCTTTTTACACATAAATATAACCTGAACGGTGTTTTAACTGTGTGTGCGTTGTGAGTGTGGAGGCGGAGCTTGTCTGTGTCTCATGACGTCTCCATCACGGCTGCCGCTGCGTTCGTGGCTTGTCCGGTCAGCAGAACGTTCTCTGACCTGGGACTCTTTGTGTGTGGCTCTGGTCTGTTGTTTGAATGTCGTCCCAGCCAGGGCCCAGTCTTGGTCCTGTTTTGGTCCGGTCCGGTCTAAGCTTTGGTCTTGTGCATCGTAAACCCCAGCAGGACATGTGTACTCCTGACGGCATGGCTGTGTCTGCACTAATACTCCTCACATTTACACGGTTCAGGAGGCTGTTGTGGCTCAAAACTGACAGAGATTTTCACATCCATAGCAAAGCCGACAAGTTAAGTTATAGGAAAATTCACAAATCAAATGTTCAATCTTTAACTATAACTTTTTGAAGTAATTTATTGATGAAATTTGTGTGACCATAATAATAACTAGAGTTGTGCATTGCCATGATTCTGAAGATACAATACATATCACGCTATACATGTCACGATACGATACATCCTGATATATCCCAATACTAAAACAAAGGGCAGTACATTGCGATTTATCAATAGTTACTTCTAATAATGCCTAGTGCCTCCGCTCAGTTAAATTTCTCTCCAGCGACTAGGTCAGGAATCAGAATACACTAGATGGTTCACAAAAATGACAGAAGTGCGAGTTCGGGCACCAGCCAATCAGTGAAGAGCCATATATTCTGTGTTGGCGACGATTCCAGAGATCGAGGATTTAAAGCTGGAACAAAGAGAATGTTTGGTGAATTTTATCAAGGGGAAAGACGTTATAGGCGAGTTTCAGCTGACGTCATTGTTATTAAAAGCCCGCGTTGCATGCTGGGAAATATTTTGGTCGGAGGCAAGAAACACGGTAGCGTCAAACACAGTGCGTAACCTCGCGTATTTATCCCCGATAATGGTAAATTCCTGCTGCATTATCGGATGCACAAATAGAAGCACGGAAGAAGGAAAATGTCTTTTTCGTATTCTGAGTGAAAAGAACCACTAACGGTGAATTAAACGGCTTTCAAACAGAGCAAACAAGTTCAACAACACATTCGAGACTCTTGGAGGTTTTCATCTTTTCTGCTGTGAATGGCCCAGGAGTTTCCACCAAGTCATTGTGGATATCGCCAGAAGTGAATATTTGTCCAGGTAGTTGGCGATTCTGACCAGAAATTTGGTTTGGTCCACCTTTTGTCGGGGTTGAAAAGGGTGATTTGTCGTCCATCGATGCTTATGACCAATTTCTGGTCAAATGGTCTTGGGTCCTCTGCCGTTAGAGTGGATAAATAACCGGAATCAATACCCTTTACGTGCTTTCTCGCTCCGTCCGTCATGTTGAATAAGTGTTTATTGCCACCGACCAAAATAATTCCCAGCATGCAACGCGCGCTTTTGTCAACAATGAAACTCGCCTATTGCCCTTCTTCCTACGAGATTTGTCGCATTACATACGTCACGACCAAACAGCAGCGATTGGTTAAATAAAAAAAGTACCCACCTACTGTCAAGTGAATAAATCCTAATGATGCGAGGTCAGACGGTTTCCACAAAGTGAAACCGGCTGATAAATCTGGCTAGTCATGTACACCTTCATAATCACAAAATTGTATTACTTTAATTATTATTATTATTATTTTTTTTATCATGAGCACAGCAGATGTAACTCTGGAATTTTTGTGAAAAATATAGTTTGAAAATGTTTCTGAAACTATTTTTTAATCGATTCAACAATTGCGCAATGTAGTGAATTGATTTTTTTCTTACACCCCTAAGAATAACACCTTAGACTTAAAAAGCATTCACTCCACAATAGTTTAGTTAATTTATTTAACGAGACAGGGACAGTGCACAATATACATTAAACTTAACAGGAAAGATGCATTGTACCAGGTGCCGGCACCCTCAGAGCTCTCGTTCTGTAACGGGAAGGTTGCTGGTTTGACTCCTTCTTACCTAAACTGCTGGTTTAGTCACACGTGGTGCCATAAACTCATGAAAAACGACAATGTTGTATCATAAATGAGACATAGACAGCAAATTGAATCACTTGTTGTGGCCAAAATAACTCTAGTGTGGAACTAAATGCCAAACGTTTATTTGTAGATTCACAATTCATATATTTTGGGATATTTAGTCATACTATCTACTGCGATTTCAACCCTCACACACTTCACACTCATTCATACTTGACACATATTAAACCTTGTTAACAATCTGCATGGCTTTCAGTGTCACATCAGCGTCTGAGATGTAGATTTAGTACAAGTAGAAGTGTCTGCATGGATTAATACGGATATTTAATAAAAATGTGTACTTTTAGAGACATACGTGGTTCTGTCCTTCATGCATGCTCCCGGTGCACGTCCAAACTGTGCGTGTGAGCCCTGTACTGTCCTCCCTGCCCCTGCCTCTGCCCCTGTCGTCCAATGGCAGGGTCTGTACTGCCCCTGCGCCTGTCAGTGTCCCCCGGTGGCAGGTGGCGGGGCTGTGGGCTGAGGCTGTGCGTGTGCTCCCCCCCCTGCAGGTGGTTTCCGCTCTGGATTTCCCGCTGGAGGGCTCAGGGGCGTCGGGGGCGTCAGGTGCGTCGGGGGCGTCAGGAGCAGCGGACCCCCCCTCCCCCGCCTCCACCCTGTCCCCCCAGCCACAGGACAGCCCCCTGCCCTCCTGCTCCTCCAACCCGTACCCCCCCGTACAGGTAAAGCCCGTCCTCTCACCTCCTCTTCACTCCTCACCTCATTTCTCTCTCTTCCTCTTCTTTCTCTTCTCTCTCTCTCTCTCTCCTCTCTCTCTCTCTCTCTTCCTCTCTCTCTCTCCTCTCTCTCTCTCTCTCTCTCTCTCCTCTCTCTCTCTCTCTCTCTCTCCTCTCTCCTCACCTCATCTTCTCTCTCCTCTCTTCCTCTTCTCTCTCCTCTCTTCCTTCTCTTCCTCCTCCTCACCCATCCTCACCCAGCAGGCGTAATGTGAGGGTCTTAAGGTGAACTGGCCTGGTGTGGCTCACTTGGGTCTAGTGTGGCTCACCTGGGTCTGGTGTGGGGCTGGTGTGGCTCACGAGGGTCTAGTGTGGCTCACGTGGGTCTGGTTTTGGCTCACTTGGGTCTGGTGTGGTCAAGTGGATCTGGTGTGGATCTGGTGTGGATCTGGTGTGGATCTGGTGTGGATCTGGTGTGGGACTGGTGTGGCTCACCTGGGTCTGGTGTGGCTCAAGTGGATCTGGTGTGGATCTGGTGTGGCTCTGATGTGGCTCACGTGGGTCTGGTTTTGACTCACTTGGGTCTGGTGTGGGGCTGGTGTGGCTCACGTGGGTCCGGTGTGGCTCTGGTGTGACTGATGTGGCTCACCTGGGTCTGGTGTGACTGTAGTGTGGCTCACCTGGGTCGGGTGTGGCTCTGGTGTGGGTCTGGTGTGGCTCGCGTGGCACTGGTGTAGCTCATGTGGGTCTTATGTGGCTCACGTGGGTCTGGTGTGGCTCGCGTGTGGCTCACGTGGGTCCGGTGTGGCTCGGGTGTGGCTCACGTGGGTCCGGTGTGGCGCTGGTGTGGCTCACATGGGTCTGGTGTGGATCAGGTGGGTCTGGTGTGGCTCACGAGGATCTTGTGTGGCTCACATGGGTCCGGTGTGGCTCAAGTGGATCTGGTGTGGCTCTGATGTGGTTCACGTGGGTCTTATGTGGCTCACATCAGTCCGGTGTGGCTCATGTGGGTCTTGGTTGTTTCACTTTTTCTCTCTTGATTTTCTTTTTCAGTTTTTGAAATCGTCAGCACGTAGAACACCCCTTTAAGACACAAGTTCTCTCTTCTCTCCAACAAAACACACTCCACCTCCACCTCGTGATGTCAGAAAGTGTTCCACTGTGTTTTTAAACTCCAAACTCCTTCACTAGAATCATTTGGATAATTTCAGCCCTGAATTTACCGATCTCTCCTGAAATAAATAAAAGGTAAAAGGAGCTGTTCACTTGAAAACTACGAGCACCTCATGACATCACAAGGTGGAACAGAGCATTTTGAGCCTCGGAGATGTAAACAAACTCATAAAAAAGGATTATTCAAATGTACGAATGAAGGAAAACGCAACTCCAGGTGTCAAAAACATACTTGACGGTTTTATTTTGAAATGTTTTGTTTTATCCTGAAGTTAGAAGTTGTTATTATTTATTTCCAGATATTATTTTACATATTTTTAATGATAATGAATTCATATAAACTTTAAAGCCAGTGAGACAGAAGGATATTTTTGTTCCATCTGCCCATCGCAGCTTCTCCGTGGTGTTGTCGCTCGCGTCGGCTTCAGTCTGGTTCCCGGTGAAGTGTTGTTGACGGTTTTTGGACGTGTGCTGCTCCGTATGTCTCCGTGTTGTGTTTGTCTCCGTCCAGTCTTTGTCTTCTGCCCGTTTGTCGCTGCCCGGTTTTGTATTTCAACAACAAACTCGTGCCTTTTTGTGGCTCAAGAATCACAGACTGTATAAATGGACATGGTTAACCTACTTCAGCAGACAGGAAGTGAGCATGGGCGCGGTTCTGGCTCCATCCGCTTAGAAAAAATGTAAAAACCGTTGTGTCTCTTCTACCGCCTGTGAACGCACCATAAGGAGTACCAACTGTCTTGTACGGCCTGTGAATGCACCATGAAGAGTACCAACTGTCTTCTACTGCCTGTGAACGCACCATGAGGAGTACCACCATATCCTACACAATCCTGCTTTCTCCCACTGCCTCTGAACGCACCACTGGGAAATCCTACTCTTGCAAGCAGAGAGAGTTTTGTCCTGCTGTCTCTCTATTGCCCACTAGGACATCCTACATTTCCCTTACTGCCCCTGAATGCATCACCATATCCGATTGCTTTGGAACATAATACTGTTTGCTCCCACTGCCTCTGAATGCACCACACCTCCCTCTGAATACATTGCAAACAAGAGTTTTGTCCTACTATCGCTACACAATCCTGTTTTCTCCCACTGCCACTGCCATTGAACGCACCACTGGGACATTCTATGGTTACCTTACTGCCTCTGAATGCGTCACTGTATCCTACAGAATCCTGCTTTCTCCCACTGCCTCTGAACGAACCACTGGGAAATCCTACTCTTGCCTCTGAATACATTGCAAACAAAGTGAGTTTTGTCTTACTGTCTCTCTCTATTGCCTTTGAACGCACCACTGGGACATCCTATGTTTCCCTTACTGCCCCTGAATGCACCACCATATACTACCCAATCCTGTTTTCTCCCACTGCCTCTGAACGCAACACCGGGACATCCTACCCGTGCCTCTAAACACATTGCAAACAGAGTGAGTTTTGTCCTACTACCTCTCTCTGCTGCCTTTGAACGCACCACTGGGATATCCTATGGGTTCCTTACTGTTCCTGAATGCACCACTGTATCCTACACAATCCTGGTTTTTCCCCACTGCCTCCGAACGCAACACCTGGACATCCTACTCGTGCCTCTGAATACATTGCAAGCAGAGCGAGTTTTGTCCTACTATTTCTCTCTACTGCCATTGAACGCACCACTGGGACATCCTACGGTTACCTTACTGCCCCTGAATGCACTACTATATCCTGCACAATTCTGTTTTCTCCCACTACCTCTGAAGGCACCACTGGGATATCCTACTTTTGGAAGCAGAGCAAGTTTTGCCCTACTGTCTCACTCTATTGCCTTTGAACGCACGACTGGGATATCCTACGGTTCCCTTACTGCCCCTGAATGCACCACCATATCTTAAAGCTGTTGAACACAATCCTGCTTTCTCCCACTGCCTCTGAACGCAGCACCGTGCCTCTTAAAATATTGCAAACAAAGTGAGTTTTATCCTACTACCTTCTGAACACGCCAGTGGGACATCTTACGTTTCCCTTACTGCCCCTGAATGCACCACCATATCCTACACAAACCTGCTTTCTCCCACTGCCTCTGAATGCACCACTGGGAAATCCTGCTCCTGCCTCTGAACACACCGCAAGTCTGTTTTGTCCCACCACCTCTAAACGCGCCTGCGACCAGATCCCCCCCCGGCCGCCGCTGCTTCGCTCCCCCCCCCCTTCCGCCGAAAACCGTCCGCTCGCCCGGTTGGCGTGCGTCCTCGTGGGTACCCCCCCCCCCCCTCCCCCGCCCCTTCCTCCTCCTCCCTCCCCTCCCCCGCCTCAGTGCACCAGCAGCCCTCCTCCTCCTCCGGCCCCAGCAGCACACAGCCGCGCGCAGCCATGCTCAACTCCGTGTGGTACGCCAAAAAGGTGGGCCGCCGCATCATGGGCACCCTGCGGAGGACCAAGCGGCTCCAGCGACGCCTCCGGTTGGTAGGTCACAGACGCGCAGCGCTCTCTCCTGCGTCATTCCACAAGTCCACATCCCATGGTCTCCACACGCACATGGAGCTGCGTGCTGGGAAAGGGGAAGGGGAAGGGGGGGGGATGCCTGCACACTCACGCTAAACGCCGTCATTAAACCTCAGGACGGACTGTTGAGCGTTGGCATAACTTGAGGCATTTTTGTGCGTTTTTTTTGTTGTTTTTTTTTTTAGTCCATTCATCTCCCTTCTGTACATGTGCTCAGTGTTGCTCATTTGCCTGCATCCTCTTGCGTTTTCCAAGCTCCTGAAATCCAAAATTCAGCTCTAGATTTAGTAGATTTCTGCAGTTGCACATGATCGTAAATGAAGAAGCGTACGTTTTATTATTTTACGCAAGTTAGGTTTGTTATACTTTCATTTTCTCCTCTGAAATCAGTGGTGTTGATTGGTCTGCATCATCTTTTTTTCCCCCCCAAGCTCATGAATTCCAAAATTTCACCTCGAAATGAACACTTACACACCATCAGAGCTTAGATTTAATTTTATGTTTAATAAAAATACAAAAATTTTCTCCTTTAAATTTGCTCAGTGTTGTTGACTGACCTGCATCTTTTCTTCTTTTTTTTTTTTTGAGCTCCTTAATGCCAAAACGAAACCTCAGGATTGACAATTAAACATTAACTTGCCTTTTAATAATTCATTTTATATTTTTCATAACGTGTCTTTCCATACTTTCATTTTCTCCTGTACATATGCTCAGTGTTGATTGGCCTACATCCTCTTTTATTCCAAGATCAGGCTGGACAATTAAACATGATCATAACTTTTTATTATTTTACTTTTTTTTTTTTTTTTACTTTGGTTTTTTATTTTTTATTTTATCCTGTAACTGTGCTCAGTGTTGTTTATTGGCCTGCGTCCTTTTTCCAAGCTCATGAATTCCGAATTAAGGATCAGAACTGACATTTAGACATTATACGCCATTGGGGTATGTTTTATTATTTTACGTAATTTTTAACTTAAATTTTCTGATATATATTTCTAAAATTTAACCACAAAATGAACACAGCATCAGAGCTTAGATTTTATTTTATGATTAATAAAAATACCAACATTTTCTCCTGTAAATTTGTTCATCCTTTTTTTTTTTTTTGAGCTCCCAAATGCCAAAATGAAACCTCAGGACTGACAATTAGACATTATAACTTTTTTTTTGTAATCATAATTCATCAATATATAATATATATATATATATACATTTTTATAATGTATATTTTATTATATTTTTAATGTATTTTTTCATAATGTATCTTTTTATACTTTCATTTTCTCCTGTACATATGCTCAGTGTTGATTGGCCTACATCCTCTTTTATTTCAAGATCAGGCTGGACAATTAA